GTAAAACTGGGTGAAAAACCAAGATCCAATTATACGCTGTCAATGAGAAAGACATTCTAAATATAAAGAAACAGATACGTTAAAAGTAAAAGGATGTTAAATCTATATACCATGCAAACACTAATCAAAAGAAGGTAAAGTGGCTCTATTAACATCAGACCAGTATCAGACATCAGAAGATAATGTGTCTGCTTTTCAGAACATGCAATATTCTCAGGGATAAAGAGGGACATTATATAATGCTAAAGGAATAATGAATCAAGATGACAAGTAATTCCAAAGTGTGTATGGAACTAAGAACAGAACTTCAAAATACACCAAGCAAAAACTAAGAAAACTTAAAAGAGAAATACAAAAAGCTGTAATTTAAGTTGATAACTTCAACACTCCTCTCTCAGTAATTCATTTTTAAAAAGTAGAAAATCAGTAGGTATATAGAAGAACTGAAAAACACTATCAACCATCTTGACCTAATTGACATTTATACAACACTACACTCAACAACTGCAGAATACACATTTCAGTGCACATGCACATATTCTGGGCCATAAAACAAACCTTAACAAACCTAAAAGAACTGTCATCATACCAAGTATGTTCTCTATTATAAAATTAAACTAAAATTTAATAACAGGAAGATATCTAGAATATTCCCAAATATTTGGAAACTAATCAACACATTTCTAAATAAGCCATGGGTCAAAGAGAAAATCAGAAAGGAAATGAGAAAATATTCTGAATTGAATAAAAATGAAAATACAACACACATCAAAGGTTTTCAGATATACCTAAAGCAGTGCTTAGAGGGAAGCAGACAGCATGAAAATGCTGACAGAAAGGAAAGATCTCAAGTCAAAGAGAAAGAAGAGTGAATTAAACCCGAAGCAAGCAGAAAGAAGGAAATAATAAGGATAAAAGCAGATTGACACTGAAAACAGGGGAAAAATAAAGAAAAATAAACAAAACCAAAGGCTGATTCTTTGAAAAATCAGTACACTGATAAACTCTATTCAGACTGAGAGAAAAAGCAAGAAGAAACAAATTGCCAATCAGGAATTAAAAATAGAAGCATTATCACAGATCCTACAGCTATGAAAATAAGGAAATTTTACAAACTTTATGCAAATTAATTTGTTAAGTTAGATGAAGGACAAATACCTTGAAAGATGTAAGCTACCAAAGTTCTCTCAAGAAGAAACAGATAACCCAAATAGCCTTGTATCTAAGGTTACTCATAGCTAAAGACTTTCCTACAAAGAAAACCCCAGTCCCTGATAGCCTCACCAGTGAGTTCTACTGTACTTAAAAGAAAGAAACAATACTCATTCTACAGAAACTCTTTCAGAAAATAAAAAAGGAAAGAGTAATTCCCTACTCATTTTATAAGGCCAGTATCATCTGATCTAAAAACTAGAAAAAAGACATTACAAGAAAATTCCAGATCAATAATCAATATTTTCATGAATACAGATGTAAAAATACTTAACAAAAATATTAGTAAATGAAGTCCAGCAAAATATAGTGAGATTAATACATTATGACCAAGTGGCATTTATTCCAGTAATGGAAAGTTGGTTTGACATTCAAAAAATCAATCAACGTAATGCACCACCAAAAAAAGAAAAACTATATGATCATCTCCAAGGATGCAGAAAAACCATTTGATAAAATTCAACATCCATTCATTATAAAAACTAAGCCAACTACTAGAAAGGAACTTCTGTCAATGTAATAAAGAGCATCTAAGAACATCATACAGCTAATTTAACGGTGAAAGACTGAATACTTTATCCCTAAAATCAGCAACAAAGTAAGGAAACTGCCGAAGTTTTATCCAAAGTGGCTAACATCATATTTAATGGTTAAAGACTGAATGTTTTCCCCACAAAATTGAGAAAAAGACAAGGATGCCTGTTCTCATCACTCCTGTTCAACAGTGTACTGGAGATCCTAGTTACTGAAATAAGGCAAGAAGAAGAAATGAGAAGAATACAGATTAGAAAGAAAGAAACAAAACTGTCTTTATTGACAAATAACATGAATGTCTATGTAAAAAATTCCAAAGAATATGCAAAGCAAACCAAAAAACAAGCTATTACAGCTAATAAGCGAGATCAGCAAAGTTGCAGGATAAAAGGTTCATATACAAAAATTGATTTTATTTCTACATATTAGCAACAAACTGGAAATTTAAAAAAATTTTAAATCTTTCTTATAGCATCAAATGTGAAGTATCCATGGATAAATCTAACAAAATATGTACTAGATGTATATTCTGAAAACTATAAAAATTAATGAGGGAAATTAGAAAAGACCTAAGTAAATAAAGAACGCTATCACATTCATTGATTAGAAGGCTAAATACAGATAGGTATCAATTCTCTCCAAATTGAGCTGCAGATTCAAAGCAATTCCAGTCAAAATTCTGGTAAGCGTTTTGTAGAAACAGGGCAAAATCTAGAAAAGAACCTAGAAGCAAAGAACCTAGAATAAAAAAAGTGATTTTTGAAAAAGAAAAGCTGACGGATTCATAAGACCCAATTTCATGACTTAGTAATTAAGACAGTGAGGTTCTGGCATAAAGATTAACATACAGATCAATGGAACAAAATAGGATCACATATGCATGGTCAATTGATTTTAGACAAAGATGTCAAGGTAATCCAACGAAGAAGGGATTGTCTTCTCAACAATTGGTGTTGGAACAGTCGGACATTCACATGCAGGGGAAAAAAAAAGGGAACCTCAAAAATATACTTTTGTGTATATTTATATTATATTCAAAAATAAACTCAAAATGAATCAAAGACCTAAAAGTAAAAGTTAACATTTAAAATGTCAAGAAGAAACATTGGAGGTGAACTTGGGTTACATCAAGATTTCTAAGAAAAGACACAAAAAATAGGAGCCATAAAAGATTAAAAATTGGACTCCTTCAAAATTAAAAATTTCAGCTCTTCCAACTTCTTGACTTAAAGAAAAGTCAAGACCCAGACTCAGAGAAAATATGTGAAAAACACATTTCTGTATCTAGAACATATAAAGAGCTCTTATATTGTATTAAGAAGACAACCAACCAATTTTTGGAAATAGACAAAAGATTTGAACAAACACTTCAACAAAGAAAAGATACAGATGACAAATGAGCACATGAAAAATACTTTATATCATTAGTCACCAGAGAAACACAAAGTAAAACCATGGTCAGATGCCACTATCCACCTATTAGGATGGCTAAAATTAAAACAAAACAGCACAAATAAACAACAGAATGGATCATATCAAATACTGGCAAAGATATGGAGCAACTAGAAATCTCATATTTCTGGTGGGAATGCCAAATGGTACAGCCACTTCAGAAAATACTTCAGTTGTTTCTTATAAAATTAAATATTCACTTGCTTACGACCCAGTAATCCCACTCCTTGGTGTTTACCAAATACAAATAAACACAGAAGTCCACACAGAGCTTTGTCCATCCATGTTCATAGCAGCTTTATTCTTAATGGCCAGAACCTGGAAACAATTGAAATGTCCATTCAATAGAGAATTGATAAACAAATTATGATGCATCCACATAATGGAATATTACTCAGCAATAAAAAGAAACTACTAATACACACAACAACATGGGTGAATCTCAAAAACATTATGCTAAATGAGAGAAGTCAGACACAAAAAACTTAAAATCCAAATTCATATAGAATTATTCCATTTTATATGCTATTCTGGAAAAGATAAAACTATAGAGACAGAAATCAGACCAGTGCTTGCCAGGAGTTAGGGATGGGTGGGGGATCAATTACAAAGGAACATGAGAAAACTTTTTGGCATTCAAGTATTTTCATTGTGGTGGTGGTTATGTAACTGTGTTTATTTGTCAGAAGTCATTGAATTGAATGGACTTTTTGAATTGAATTCAGAAGTCACTGAAACAGAACTGAATATTTCACTACTTAAGTACTTCACATGAAGTCACATATATAAAATAGATACATCAAAAAGTTTGATACAATATTAATGAAAACCTAACTATATCATAACTAACTCTTGCTTGTGGTGCCCAAATTTCTTTCCTTTTTTTTTTTTTTGAAGACTAGCCCTGAGGTAACATCCCTTGCCAATCCTCCTCTTTTTGCTGAGGAAGATGGGCCCTGAGCTAACATCTGTACCCATCTTCCTCTACCTTATATGTGGGATACCTGCCACAGCAAGGCTTGATAAGCAGTGCATAGGTCTGCACCCGGGATCCGAACTGGCAAACCTCAGGCTGCTGAAGTGGAGCACATGAACTGAACTGCTATGCCACCGGGCCAACCACCTAAATTTCTTATTCTGTTGAATTTTGTGATTTAGGAAGTACTAAAATGTAAAAACATTTAAAAAAAGATTTATATTGGGGAACAAAGCTGAATAAGTTCGGAGGACTTTGGAAAGTCAAGGGAAGCTTACGGTCGAGGCATGGAGTAAGATGACAAGCCAGGAAGGAGTGAGAGGAACAGTCAAAGGCTGGAGAAGAACCAGAGTACAATGGCATGAGCAGAGTGTTGCAAGGATCTGCAGAATTAAGGACTGGTCATTTGTTCATTCATTGAGTAGAATACCGACCCATGTGCACTATGTGTCAGGCTCTGCTCTAAGGGCTGGGGATACCACAGCAGACAAAACAGACCACAATCTTTAATCTCAGACAGTCTACATTCTAGAGGGAGGAGATAATAAACAAAATAAGTAAGTCTATGAAATGGTATGTGAGTGTTAGAGTGAAAAAAGGAATGCAGGGAAGGGGCATATGGTGAGCCAGGGCCGAGGTCTGTGTGTCAGTGGTTAAAGGGTGGTGAGAGAAGGCCTTAATTGAGAAAGCGATATTTGAGAACGGACTTGAAGGCGAGGGAGCCAGGAGGACAGCTTTTAAAGGTGGGTGCTTATAAACACTGAGCACTCATGAGGAACTCAGCAAACACCCATGTACTTTGCTGAGACCCATTTAGCTTCAATAATGACATAAAAAGATACCATTTAATATGATAACTGGTTATGACAGTTTATAAAAATGATTTACAGAATAAATATAATCTTCATTCAACTGAACAAGAAACATTGGAAATTCAACGGAAAGAAAACCACAAAACTACTACCACCCCTCCTCTCTCAAACCTGCCCCTCTTTCAATTTTCATTACATGTGATTCTGGAAAAGCCAAATGGCACAGTCTACTATTAATAAATTTTTGAGTATTATTAGCTGGGAAGGGGGTTAGAAAAAACAGGAGGAAATAGTCTATCCATATGAAAACAATAATCACATAATATTTATTGTCTGGGATTGAAATGTTTCAAAAACTCAAAGTAATAAAATGTCAGGAAAAGCAAAACTTCCTAATGTTAAAAAGATCATAAATTTTTCTCAAAATAAGACATATGAAACAAGTTCAGGTGATACTTTATGTCAAAGGAAAAAAATACCCTTAAATCTAAGTTAAAGAAGCTCCAAACCGGCACAATCTACTCACCACAGAAGAGCTGAGGAGACGACACAGTTACAGCAGAAGCACAGAAAGGAACAGGTTATCTTTTTTTTGAGCTTGAGAATCACTTTTCAATGTAAACAAATTCAGTGACCCATGCATTCTATAACTGGTACTTTTGCTACCTCTTCAATGAAAAAATAAGTAATGTCAAAAAGCCACCAGGATTTTAGTATCACTATTAAAGGAATTTCTATTTTATAAGTCCCAACGACACATATGTATATCTTTAAAACAGGGCGGCACCTATCTGGGCAGAACATGTTTATTTAACCTACAGGTAATATCATCCAGGTGGCCTCCTGAGCCCCTTCCAGAATTCCACAGTCCCCCACAGTCCGTTGACTCACTGGGAATTGTAGATTCCATGTTGACTGCTTGGCTTTCATAGGTGCTAAAAAAATTTTTTTGCGAATGAATGAATGAACAGAGATTAAAAAAACAGACATTTTAATTGCAAGCTACTCTTGAGTGATAAACTGTTGCTTCCAGTTCACAAAACCTGATTATTTTCTGTCTGAATAGATTTTCATATTTGCTTTAAGTTCAGCGGACATGTTATTTCCATGACCTTTAGGGAAATTTCATCCTAAAATGGTGCGTTGTCTTTACAGTAAACTAGTGGGAGAACTGGCAGATTTTCAAAGATGGTACTACATAAAAAAATAGCGAGTAGGTCTATGACTCTTTTTCAAGTTTGTACAGGTTCAGGCGGGACACTGAGGTTCTTAGGTCTGTAGTAGTACAAATGTGATTGAGGTTGCCTCTCTTTCTGAGGTCATTAACCCCTTCAAACAAGACTGCAGTCACAGCGACCTACTCATACAGGCCACAAGAAACCGGATGCACGGCATGTTTTGAGTTGGTTTCTCTGAGACACTGTACTTGTCTTTCAGAAAAAGGCTATGATCATCTACTGTTCACGAGATTTGCAGCCAAATAAGTAAAACAAGCATCAGTAAGAGATTTGACGAAGACTTAACCCCAAAAGGACTCTGTGCTCAGGTTTAAATGAATGATTCCTTTTCTCTCGACCAATCAACAAATGTTTATCGAATATCTAATATGTACATGTGGTGATTACAAAGAGGTATAAATTCAAGACTTGTCCTCAAGAGATTCTTTATCTGGTGTCAGTTACAAAGACATGGAGAGATGAGTAGCGACACAAAATAGGAAGTACAGGGACCAACAGGGGAGTAAAGGTTTCAGAGGAAGCAGAAGGTACTGCGCAGGAAGCAAGGAGGAGTCTTTACGGGAAAGAGCTAAGGAAGGAGGCCACTGTGAAAACCTGGGCAAGAGGCTGACTGACTTTCATACTGTCAACAGAAACACAACACTCTAGGTACTGTAGGGAAAGGCACCCTGGTGACCTTGCAGGTCTCTGCATAGGCCCCATTCCACCATGGCCATCCCAGAGACATGGCAAGATAGCCCTTCTCGGGAGGAGCGGCCACAAGGTAGTTCCTCATCTGTCTCCCTGGTTCTAGTGAGGCATGGGACTTTCTACCTCACTCTCCTTCTGGGCATGGATGCAAACTAGAGAACTGCTTGGTCACAGTTTAGAGTTGGTGCCTCCATGATGCAGTGACCAACCACTCATGTCGTCTGTCATCTGGCCCCTCTGGTTTGGTATCTTCCTGGGGGATTAGGAACGTGGAAAGTTGATACTATGCTGATCTTACTTATGCTGCTGTGTAAGTAATAAACTGCCTAAACCCATCTGGGCTCACCGTCTCCTCATGGGCCAAACCTATGGAAGTGTGGCACGCTAACCCACCAGCTGCAGTGCTTACTGCTGCTTCGGGACGCTTGGCTGACTGGCACAAACAGGTCAGGGAGGAGAGACGAGAAGTGGCCAGTGAACTGGCTAATGAACTAACTTCTCCAGGTAAAGTGGTTGAAAGAGGTAAATCAATGCTATTCAGAAAAAAATGCTGCAGTTAGGCAGTACCACAGGCTGGTGCACTGCTAGTTGGGATCTTAAAGGACATAAACCAGGAAGTGACTTGTCCTGAGGCAGAACAGACCTAGGGTTGAATTAAAGAAGCTGCAAATTCCTGATGCGAGAGGAAAATCATCATTTCTAATTCAAATTGTGCTCAGCAACTTTCTTCCCACTTTGTTCTTTATCTCTGTCCATCACTCCTCCCAAGCTCACACACAAACATCTGGGATAAGAGAAACAATGACGATACCATAATTAATGAGCAAACACCTAAAAGGGGCATTTGTATAAAGTTTCAAGGAACTGCCACATGTACTTCTGGACCTGCCACTGCAAACCACGTCAAAAAGATAGGGATTATTTTATAACATGAGATAATGCTTTTTGTGAAAGCATCAAATAGCAGCCTGTGTAATTAGAGCCTTCTGGAGAAATCTGGTCTTCACAAAGGAGAGGCTTTGTACGCACAGATCTTTGAGGAAGGTCTTCTCATAATTTGTATAGAGATTCTTAGCATGTGCATTGATCATATGTATTAATCTTAAGATTTAAGACTTACAGAGGACTTGGCGTCATTTTATATAATCATATTCTATTATATATTATAATGATATTCTATTATATACATAATACTTGGCCTTAGAGAAGGAATGTTAAGTTAAAATGAAATTTTCTTATAATTAAGTTTTTTGGTACTGAGAAGTGCTTCTGGGTCCAGGGCAGCAATTCCCTGTACTATGTTATCAGAAATCTTTAGTACAGTCCATGTGCGTAACAGGGGTTCAGAGCAGGAGCTTCCGGGTCAAGGTGCTGGGTACAAAGGCCAGCTCCTTCCTGGTACCTCTGCACAAGGCACTCAGCCTCTGCCCATTTCCACTGCCTGCGGGCAGCAGGGAGAACAAGAGCGCACATCTCATAGTGGGGTTGTGAGTGTCCAGTGAGCTAACCTGCACAAAGTGCTGAGCACGCAAGGTAGCACATGACGTGCTATAATTATTCTGTCAAACTTATTATTAAAAGGCTGATACAATATATCATCATTTTTGATAACAAGTAAACTGTTACCTGGTATAAGTAAAATTATATAAGTAATCATCTTGATTCTTGATTTTTCCTATGTCTTTTTCTATATTTTTATTTTCCTTTGAAAAAAACGGGAGTAGGAAATATTGGGTGGCGATGAATAGAAAAAGGAACAGGAATATAATGCTCTGTACAGAATTATAGTGGTTGTCGACAATGAAATATTGTATGTGGCTTTCTTGTGACTTTGCAGGAATTGACTGTTTTAAAATATGCTTCAATTGCCAAAATTCTCATGACTTACGACAGCTTGAATATTTGATATTTTCTTCCAGAAAACAAATGCAAGTCTCTTTCTCTGTTTCTTTCTTTTTTAAAGTGCTATGGTATCACTATCCTACTCACAACGTTCGAGACTTACTTTAAGAGATATGACTTTTTAATATTTGAGTTTGTAAAGGCATCTGGCCCTTATTTAACATCACATTTACATCCAATTCCTGAAGGCATGGTTTTGTTGTTGAAGCTTGGCTTGATGCCCTCTGCAGAAAGCCCCTGCTTTAATGAACACAACTCCACTGAAACTGCTAGAGGCCCCTGCGCGCACCACCCCCTCCAACTGTACAATGAGAGCTCAGAAAGTTCATCTTGGATTTCAAAGAAGAAGATAAAAATAAGAAAATAAATTGCTGGAGAATCAGCTTTACGTGGGGCCACATGACATATTCAACTCGATGTGCTTCTATTATTTGCAGAAGTGTTTATGTACTATGAAATGCTGAGCCAGAGCATACAGGAAACTGTAAAATACTTTACGAGATGTATACATGGTTGATGGCAGAATTTTAAATGCAACCTGGGAAGGTTCTATCTGAATCCCAGGAGGGCAGACGAGGGAATCCTTTCTCTGTAGTGATTCAGTTTTACACAAGGGCTTATATGTACTGAAAAGAAATACCTGATTTGGGAACGATATAAAACATTTTTTATGAAATTAAACTTTACAATTTCTAGACAAGTAAACTTGTTTTCTTTCTGACCAAGAATCACCAGTTGTGTTTATTTGTCTTCTACGTGGTAAAAGCTTTAAACGTGGATTGTTTATGATTTTATAGAAACAAAGAACAAACAGTAATAAATAAAGAATTCTCCCTAGATACAGGAATTTTATACACTATTTAAAAAAGTATTTGTGCTTCTTTTTAAATAAAAACTCTTGGTTCTAAAATTGGAACATTATTTTTGAATCTCAACTACTGCAATACGTGAAGGCAGGAAGGTTAATGACACAGCCTCAAAATGGCATGTTCAGAAAAGTCGCATTTCCAAATTTAGGTGAAGGGAGAAATACTTCTATTTCCTTTACCCTCAGATCCATGAGGCAATGTCAATTGCCCATAAAAGATGCTATTTATTTGCTGGTTTTATTTACTTATTTTCAAATTTGATCTCCAAAACACAAGGCTACAAAAATAGAAACTATTTTGTGTATTCACATTTGATTTAGAGTTGAGCCTGATGTGTTTGTTTTTGTTTTGTTTTATTGCATCTACCTCATGAAGTCATTGCGAAGATAAATGAAATACCAGAGATAAGGTTCCTGACACAAAGTAGGTGCTCAAAGTACCTTAATTCCCTTCTCCCTTGCTTGCAGGCCTCTTTTTTAAATTGATGCATAATTGATGTATAACACATTATTTAATTAATACCACAGTCCCTTTGAAGAAGAGTCTAATATAACACTTATGCTTTAAGATGTGTCCATAATTAGTACCTTTTAAAAATAAATTTAGGCAATTGTGTAAGATAAACATGTCATACAACCCTGACCTGTGTTTGTAATAGCTTATGCAAATCCAGTATGACGCAGTATAATTAGACTGCATTACATTACATAATTCTAACTAGATTGAGAACTAGGGACCATGGATCTGGTCTCTGGTCTGTCACCGCCACTACTGAGTGAGCTTGGGAAAGTCAGTTTTCCTCTCTAGGCCAAGTGTTTTCATCTGTAAAACGAGTGGTTGTTTTCAACAATCTTTAAGACCATGTTCTGCTCTTAACATCTGATGATTCTACATAACATTTTAACCTGAGAGAACAATTTATTGAAGTGACATTTTCTGAAACTTTCCTTCTATAAATTTTCTTCTTTTTCTATACTCACTGCTTAAGGAAATTTTATTTCACTTCCATTTTAGTATTGCGGAAAGAGTCAGAGAAAGAACCTAAGTGTAGAAAAGAAAAAAAAAGAATTAAAAATATTAATATTGAGCAATTATGGGGACATCTAGGCTGGTTTGGGACAGACATAAATGACCTTGTTTTATTCTAAATTCAGCTCACTGGCTTATGATGAAAAGTGAGAGGTTATTATATGGACTTACTGGGCAAAACCAGATTTTATAAATAATTACCTGTCAGACTGTTCAAGATAGACAAACATACGCCAGACCAACAAAAACACAGACCTGTCATATTTCTGAGAGAAATGTACGTTGAGTCTTCCTTCTCTGGGACTATAAGGAGATCAGGTAGAAGAAAATGAAGGGAAAAAGCCCAAACCCTATATTTTCTGCCTTGTGCATACTTTAAAATGTATAATGTGGGAGAGAAGGAATTTTGATGTGAAAAATTAGCCTCTGAAAATTTTATACATCTATAAGACCGGCAGATCGAAACAAAATACAATAAATGCTGTCGTTTTAAAAGTTAGGATGTTTACTGCAAGCTTATAATTTTCCATGATTAGGGACGCCAAGAAAAATAAGAATGATGATAAAAAGAAAAGTTTAATCATACATTTCAACAAGCACAGATGGAACATCAAAACCTTCTGGCAATTTTTTGATATTATATATCTGCGTTTTTTTGTTCTTGACATGAAGATTTTTTCCAGAAGGACTAACATAGAACAGGTAAATGATAGTTAACAAATGTGAATAATATGGCACAATCATATTAAGTGAGCCTCACAATGCTTTGGTCACAAGAGGAAAATCTTTCATACTTCTCATTTCTGTTTTTATTAATTCTTTACAAAGGCTGATTCAGTGAGCGTACAAACCGTGATAAAAGTAAAATTACATAGAACTCCTACAGAATTAAAGAAATAACTTCCTTTTTTCAATTTAAGTTTAATCAGGAACTGCATAATTACATCTGCTATATTTTGGTTTGTTTCCAAGAGTTACAGTTCCTCATTTACTCAGAAAGCATAGATGCCAGAAGGTAGCTCAGCTGCCACCAGCAGGGAAGCCCCTCCGCACGCCCGGGCGCCGTGTGCTGGTGCTCGGATGGGAAGAAGCAGACCGCTCGGCTCCCCTTCTTTGACTCATTCTGATTACTTTGCTTCTAAACGGGTTTGGTGTGTGCGTGAGGGTGGGCCTGGGGACTGGAGGCACAGGGAAAAGAGAGAAATGAAGATGGGGGAAGAGGATCCATGTGAGGAAAACACACATGACAGGCAGATACACAGGAAGTCGGGAAGAGCGAATGAAAATGACACATATCCTGTAAGTGGGGTGAAGGGAAGAGAAGATGGGAACAGACAGTTCATCAGGTCAATTAGGTCTTTGATTAGTGTGAGTTTATAAAGTGGATATTTGTCTCTAAAATGCATGTAGAGACAGGCAATGGATGTTGGAAAGTAAAGTTGGTGGGATGGTGCAAGGGAAAACTGACTGTCCTTTTAATTTTGTTTCCTTTGTCTCAAACCTGGATTATAAAACACATCAAATAAAACATAGACTAAACACTGAAAAAAAAAGACACTGCTTTTAAGATATGTGAGCTGAGGGCAGTAAATCCATTCCAAATTAAAATTTCAAAATTGTGTGATCTGCATTCTTGTCCACCTACACACTATCCCAAACATCCTGCCATTAATTAGTTAAATGGCCCATCTAGTAAACAAGACTAAGCGTTGAGGGGGCTGGAAAAGAGCTGGAGTCAGCCAGTTGATAGTCACAACAAACCAACCCACTCCCAAGGATATGGAGAAGGTAAACTTGTATTTTATTTTGTCCAAGGAGGGAAAAGAAATCACCTTAATATAACATTGGCTTTCCTGTTGCTGCAGTCACAGTCCCGTCAGCAGGCTAGAAAAGCCATCCCATTCCTGCGGTAGGCACTCTGTCAAAGAGAAAGAAATCTGCAATGAATTATCACATCAAGTCAAACCAGGAAAGGAGGCAAAAAAGCAAGCAGAGCGTTCTTCCTGTTATGTAGACTCTGCTGGCTACAGTCTAACAGGGTACTTAATCTGAACATTTCTGGTGGCAAAGCTATAGCAACCACTCTGTCTCGTAAAAAGTCAGTGTGGTTAACAAGTGGTTAGTGATTCTGTCTTGGGGGAGTGGGAGATATGCAAAATAAGACATCCCATTTTGTTAATTGATTGGGCTTGGTTAGGCCAAAGACGTTGTGTTGAATCTGTCTGTCCTTTATAAACATGTGTTCTCTATTGGACATGCTCAAGAATCACTTCTAACTAAGTATATTAATAGTCTATAAATTACTGACTCGTTATAGTCTTCCCAGGCCTAATTTATAGTCTCAGTGAAAAGCTATGGGAACAGACACTAATAGAGGCCTTTCCTACCTCCTAAAATACGGTCATCCCTAAGGAGTTCTGGACATTATAGACATAATAGAAAACTTGAATCTTGCATAATTTTATATACATACACGTACATATAGATGTATATATGGACATTCATGATGGGATAAAATATTCCCATAAACGAAAATGGATATTAATTGCAATAATGTTATATATTCCAGAAAAGAAAGTAAAACTGCATGACTTTCTATCCCAAGAGATATATTCTGCACTTCAGAGTTGGAAGAGCTGGGCCATACAGGGCCTCTGTGACTTCTCCTGAGTCTCAGACTCAGAGTAAGGAACTAAAATCCAGGACTTAGGAATAAATTCCCTTTTTCACCACCATATTTTTCTTTATTTCAACTAGGAACAGTCACATTCAGAGAATTCATAACCCTCAATTAGATGGAATTTTTCTGCAATCTGTTTTCGGAAAAATGGAAAAAGATGAAAAAATCTCATATCAGGTATTTTTTCCTTTAAACTAATAACTCTGAGGCTGTTCTGGAGTCTGTACACTTTCAGTCCAACAAATTTACCTTCAACAGTCATATTATAGTAAATACAGAATAAGCTTTTATGATTGAGATAATGCTATGGAGGTGCTGAAGTATTTAATTCTAAACGATTAAACTACATTTTTAATTATACTGAAAAAAAAGAAAGAGGATCCAAGCTTGTTAGAAACACTTCCACCAAGATGAGGTGAAACAAAAAAGGTTTTATGGATAACTTTCTGTTAATCAGAAAATTCAATTAACTTCAAAATCTTCCCTCCAAAGCCCCTGCTTACACAGGATTTACTATGGTTGTCAGGCTTTGAGCGCGGGCTGAAATTTCATCGGGCGCTAGTGCTGCTCTGCGGTTCGCTCCAGATCAGCATATCAATGATGAGAAAACAGTAGCACATTCCAAGTTTCATTCCTCAGGGCTCTCTGTGAGCGTGTTCCTGACCATCGAACTTTTTGAGCCGTAGGACACTTCTGGATTGAAGCAAACATTCTAACAAGGACTAGAAAATTCCAACTCTACCTCCTCAGATTGTACACTGGAGAACAGTGTTAAATGAGCTCCTCAGAGAGCCACAAATAACCTGCAGGAATGGAGAGAGTGTCTTCCCACAACCACAGGCGGGGGAGCCTCAGGCCTCGAAACAGCCCCTACCACCACGGCTGCCTTAGAGAGGCTTAGGCCAAAGTAATACTTTCAGCTTCTTGACCTTGATATTTTAAATTTCACAACCACAGACACAACCTTTAACATAACATAATATTTAAAGCGTAGAGATGGTTTACATGGAGATAAATGGACCTGGGAGCAAAGCTGGACTCCTCTTAAGGTAAGTGACTGAAGTGAGCCTTGCTTGAAAAAGAAGTTTTGGCTCAGGAGAAGGCTGAGCCTTGGCTGAGCCCACCTGAGAAATGACCAAGTTAAACCTTTCCAGGATGGGCAATATGAAACGGTTCTCTTTCATACTGAAAAGGTCACTTTTCAAAGATCACAGATGATTTAGCACTATTGTTTGCAAACAACTAAAAGATTAAACATTTATTTAATAACATAGATTCTCAAGTAATCAAGTTTAATGAGAAAACTTAAGTTTAGAGCTGACAGATTTCTGGAATAAGTTCTTATAATTCTAAAATAAAAAAATAACAAGCAAGCATGTGTAATTAGTGAAGAGCAACTTCAGCAAATCAATCCCCTAGGGTCCTCTGCCCTGAGCCGCTGCTTCTTCCTTTTGATGTACAAAGGATATATACTGTCTGTGTAGGGCAATTATGGGAATGTCTCAAATTTGGCATCTTTTCCAGAGTAAGCAACTTTAAAGGAAGACGGATGAAGACAACTCATCTTTGTGTGAACTGTGAATTTCTCTCTATTTGTGTTGTGAATGCTGAAACTAAATTTAAACATCGCTTGGTGCGAGGGCCTTCCAGAGGCCACATTCTCACGAAACACTTTGTATCCCACTTCTCTCCACTGTCAGATCCAATGAAGGATTCCTAGTTCTGTATCTTCACAGACACTCTTAGTCAAACCCGACCTTGAGCAGAAACAGTCAGGACCTCCCCCAACTACTGAAAAGTACAGATTAATCAATAACACAATCAGACTTCCCCAACAAACCAGTTCCTACAGGCTATACACCACTTAAGCTTTATTGCGGATTTCATAAAGCTCTGTTCTCAACTACTAGTTGCTCCTGTGTGAATTTGTTGAAAAGCTCAGATATTGTAGCATCCCTCAAAGTTACCAGCAAAGACGATATTTAGTTTTTTTTTTAAGGACCAATTGTAGATCCTGGGCTTTTTTTTTTTTGAGGGTCAACCAAGCTCTCAATTTATGACATTCTTTTATTCATTCAGCTCCAAATTACAACCTGTTACCAGAATCTCAGTCTACCTAAATAAGCAGACACAGATTCTACCTACTGCACTGGACATTGGTGGGGAAATGAACTCCTAAGTGTGTCCTTTTAAAATATGACTTTTTTTTTCTTATTTGCTTATGGACAATGGACAAGCTAGAGAATACATTTAAATCCCAAACTGGTTTACTTATGCTTTTTTATAGGTCATCAGAAACTGCACATTTTAAGGAATACAAATTAGTATTTGCAAGCAAAAGATTAATATTTATCTCACTCAAAAGAAGATAAATATGCTACAAAACATATCCTATAGTTTCAAGTTGAATATGATTGTGCTGTTTGTGTCAATAGCCTAAATAATGAAGCTTTAACCGTAGATAAAACCACCCCTCCCCACAGTGCAGACTTATATTTTATTCTCACTATTACCTTTCCTGATTTTTTCTGCTTTCTCAAACTTTAAATAAAGTAACACAAAAATTTCATTGTAGGGACTGACATCAGTAGGATGGCAGGCTAGGAGGTCCCAAAGCTCATCTCCTCCACAAAAACCAACAAGTAAACAACTACAAACAGACAAAAACAGCTCTGGGAAAGCTCTGAGCTACAACAAAGAAGCAGCAGAAACACTGCGGAGCTCAAAAACCAAGCATGGCCACATGCAAAGTGTAGGAAGCATTTTCCCTGCCTCGCATCCTCCCCCAGTCCAGGGCAGCCCAGTGCAAAGAGGGCCCCCCTTGGAGGGATTTCACTCCATGGGAAAAGGAGAGCAGAGAACCCCTGGAAGCCTCATCACTGCTGTGGACATTTGTAATCTTTGCTACTGAGGGCCACCTTAGCCTGCACCAACAATGAACCCAGCTAACAGAGCTGCCTGGAGTCCTACTGCTACATCTCCTCACCAGGGCTGGAGCTGTCGCTGCAGTAACACCTGCCCCGGGAGCCCCAGCTGATGCTGTGCCCTACTCTCTGGGAGGGGGATATCACAGTGACTTGCTATATATGGGACCAGAGTTGCTGCTGCTCTGTGTCCTACCTCTGGGGTTCTAAGTTGTGGCTTTGAGCCACTAGCACCAGGGCTGTGCTGCTGCTATTCTGTGACTGCCGCCTGGGTCCTAAGCTGAGGCTTTGACCTGCCATCACTGGGCTGTGCTGCTGCTGCTCTCTGTCCCACCCCTGGGTTCTAAGTCATGGCACTGACTTGCCATCACTAGGGCTGCACTGCGGCAGCTCTGTGCCCCACCCCTTGGGTCCTGAGTCATGGCTTAGATCTGACGTTAAGTGAGGCTGAGCTGCTGATGCTCTGTACCATACTCCCTGGAGCCAGATCAGGACTTTCTCCCAATGTCCGCAGGACACATTGTTCCTGCACCCGGTACCCTAGGCCCAAGTCACTGTTGGACTCTGTCATCCCATGGCCCATGCCACTGCTGCACCTCCCCACCCTGGTGCCGAAGTCACTATGGCAAGCCCCAGAGACCGAGACTCCAGTTCCTCAGGAGATGTGTACATGCCTGCACCTCAGACAGTGGCACTATTGTCACAGCAAGCACACTTGTGCCCCAGGACCCAGGTGCCATGGTAGTTCCACATGTGCCCAATCTCAGAAACCTGGCTTCATTGCTACTCTGAGTGCCAGTGCACCAGATCTTGTGCCAAGAGCAATCCCCTTGGCTAGAACTTCCTCCTACAGGCAAAAAAAAAAAAAAAAAAAAAAAAAAAAAGCAGAAAAGGAACACCCCAGCAGCCTCTGCCACCAAAGACTCCAATAGCCCTAGATACCACTGTCACTTTCAGGACCTCTGCAGTCTTGGCCACCGAAGACCCCCCTTAGTCTTTGCCAATGTTAACCTCAGCTGATGGAGAGGTTCTTCACAGAGACTCTGCCGCTGTGCTTTCCCCAGAATAGAGATGCTGCACCCTGCCCAGCCAGAGGCCTCACAGTCAACTTCAGGTGAAAGTCTTTCCCCAGCAAAGTCAGTCTGGAAACGACAGAAGAGATGACTGCTTGCTCAAATGCACAGACATCAATGCAAGGCCACTAGAAACAAGAAAAGGCAAGGAAACACGACACCACCAAAGGATTTCAATAGTTTTCCAGTAGGTAACCCCAAAGAAATGGAGATATGTGAGTTACCTGAAAAAGAACTCAAAATAATTATTTTAAGGAGGT